ATGGGCAGATGTGCAGGTGAACATCTGCTTGATGTGGAAAGTCTTCTTGGGGCCTGGGATGGGGGTGAGGGAGGAGGTATGGGGGCAGGTGTAGCACTTCCTGCGGTTGCAGGGAAAAGTGCCGGGTGTGGTGGGGCTGGAGGGGAGTGTGGAGCGGACAAGGGAGTCACGGAGAGAGTTGTCCCTCCGGAAAGCAGATAAGGGTGGGGAGGGAAAGATGTCTTTGGTGGTGGGGTCGGATTGCAGATGGCGGAAGTGTCGGAGGATGATGCGTTGGATCCGGAGGTTGGTGGGGTGGTACGTGAGGACGAGGGGGATTCTTTTTTGGTTCTTATTGCGTGGACGGGGTGTGAGGGATGAGGTGCGGGAGATGTGGGAGACACGGTTGAGGGCGTTCTCGACCACCGAGGGGGGGAAGTTACGGTCCTTGAAAAACGAGGACAACTGAGATGTACGGGAGTGGAATGCCTCATCCTGGGAGCAGATGCGGCGGAGGCGAAGGAATTGGGAATAGGGGATAGCATTTTTGCAGGAAGGTGGGTGGGAGGAGGAGTATTCTAGGTAGCTGTGGGAGTCGGTGGGCTTGAAATGAATATCGGTTTCTAGGTGGTTGCCCAATATGGAGACAGAGAGGTGTTCCTTGGATTGAGAAAAGAAACAATTTTCTCATGTTAGTTTATAAGGAGCACATGGCAATTATATTTCAGGAGTTCTGATGGCTTTACTGAACTTTGAAGCATATTGATGTACATTTCCTAGAACAAAAGAGTCACAATAGATAGGAACATGCTTTTTTGCACTGTTAATTAATAATACCCCATCTCCATTGCTTGCATCTTAAATTCTTGTGCTTGAAATCATTTAAAGTCATCCGCTAGGTCATTTCATAAGTTGAACAAATGTTGCACAGAACAGATTTATGAGACATCTCTCTCGAGATGTTTCCGTCAACTAGCAAAACATTTGTAATGGACAGCGAGGCTATTTTCTGGGTCTCGAAATGTACAAGAATGAGAACTCAGCTGGATCTGGATTCTTGGCATTTTTGTCATTCGTGATGCAACCCTAGATTTAACGATTACAGACAGGCAGAGAAGAATGTGGATGGATGGCATCGAAGACCTTACCCACAAGGGCCTATGACCAACTAAAAAGAACTGCTAGAGATTCATAGATGTGGAGAGCTATGATTAACAATCTGCAAACAATCAAGAGTGCTCCATGAAGATGAAGAATGCCAACTTCAGTCTTGGCAAAAGGAATAAGTACGACATTTATGTAGTACTTTCACAATCTACAGGTAGAGTTACAACATTTAAAAGACTATTGGACAGATACATGAATAGGAAAGGTCTCGAGGAATATGGCTCAATTGCAGGCAAATGTGACCAATTTAGTTTGGGAAACCTGGCCGGCATGGACGACTTAGACTGAAGGGTCTGTTTCTGTGCTGTATGACTCGCTGACTATAACCACTGGATGAACCAAAGTGATGTTGATCTGATTAAATGCTTTTGTACTGTAGCCGCTGTTGTAATATAGGGGCCACGTCAATCAATTTGCACACAGTAAGCTCCGACAAGCAGCAGTGCGAGAATGGCCGGAGAGTCAGCTTTTGTCAAGTGTCAACCAGATCACTTTGAATAATTCCCTGCTGTTCTTTGAAACAGATGTTTTACACCTGCCTGAGAGGTCAGACAGAGCATCATTCCAAAGTGAGTCCCTTGGGCAGTGCATCAGTACAACACTGGAGTGTTCACTGAGATTGTAATATCCAAGTGTGAGAGTGGGACTCGAACCCCACAACCTCAATAACAATTGATTTGTTTACATTTGTGGTTTGTTACAACCTTAATGATAACAATGGATGGCAACTTGCAAACATAGTTTTTATTATATTCACTTCAGTCGCAGTTTGTTGATAACAAAGTGACCATCAAAAATTTATATCAGTGGCTTTGATGATGGATGCAAAGAACTGGTAACTAAACATGCAGATGACACAAAAATAGGTAGAAACGTATATTGGTGAGCAAGAGAATTTCAGTTTCTGGGGGTGTGGTAGGAACCTACAAACCTTCTGAAATCCATATGACCTTGTCTATATTCAGTAAAAGTAGTTTACAAACTTGTGGTTGGGAATCTCAGGTAACATTCTTCCATAGAATCCAATTTCACTGAAATAAATCAGATTAACGAATCCATCATCTCATTGCTGCTTGAGGGTTGTTGCTATGGGATGGTGAGGCGGTGATGACGGTGAGAATGGTTCAGTCAGGGAGTGATGGTGGTGAGAATGGTTCAGTCAGGGAGTGACGGTGGTGAGAGTGGGTCAATGAGGGGGTGACGGTGAGAGTGGGTCAATGAGGGGGTGATGGTGA